TTTAACATATGCAACACTACCCTGCAAGATGGCCCATTGACCAACAACACTACCCTGCAAGGTGGCCCATTGACCAGCAACCCTACCCTGCAAGGTGCCCCACTGACCAGCAACACTACCCTGCAAGGTGGCCCATTGACCAGCAACACTACCCTGCAAGATGGCCCATTGACCAGCGAATCGCGGCACCTTAGATTCTATCCTTATAACAGGCAAGTCTAGATATGTGGATCTAAGGACCCCAGTCTCTAATAGGGACAACTTGTTCTTGTTATTTACATAATCTAGATATTAGGATTCAAGGCAATAATGTTTGTCATAGTCTAGTTAGAGACTTGTGCAAGTCTAATTCCTGAAGTCAGTGTCCTGGCTGCTGATGACACCACACCTCTTGTCAACCTCTCGTCCAGCCATCGCCAGACAGTGTAACACTGTCCGCAGGCTGCCCATCATCTAGACAGTGTAACACTGTCCGCAGGCTGCCCATCGTCTAGACAGTGTAACACTGTCCGCAGGCTGCCCATCATCTGCAGGCTGCCCAGGCTATCAGGCCATCACTATCAAATTGTCACACTCAAATCAGCTGCACAAGTTCCTGTTTTATTGAATCATGTTAATTAGACTATGTCTGGACAAGTGTAAAGTAAGTCAAAGAGATAGATGCAATGAATACCAATCTCCCGTCAACTTGTACATACAGATGATTGTAAACAAACTTCGTACACAAGTAACAGAAATTACAAAACATCTCAAATATACAACACCTGGTCAATACACTAAACCCTGATTTGGTCAGCATGGGACAACTATGGATACAGTACTTGTGAGACCAGCCTAAACTTGCACAAGTCTCTAAGGCAACAATCATTAGTTTAAATAATAAGTTCTAGATTATGTAAATAATAAGATTAAGCTGTCCCTATACGAGACTGGAGTCACTGTCCACATATCTAGACTTGCCTATTAGGAGGACAGAATTACTACACATCCATGGACTTTTCTTTCAGTACAGCCTTGGAGCAAGGCTAGGACCAAGTATGCAAGATCATACAGTGGGCTGGACGAGAACAAGGGAAAACCAATCCACCTTTTACACCAATTTCAGGCTCAAGCACTCTTTAGTCAAAACAAATCAGACAAAGCGACCAGGATAACGCCCTGGCACCTGATGCTAGTTAGTGCCCAGTCAGGTTGACAAGTCATCTGGAAATATTATACCTGTGTTGAGCATGTAGAAAAGGTTGTTTGGCAGCAATATGACAGGGTCTCTACAAAATCTTTGGCTTTTTAGATGAGTGAGTGAGTGAGTGAGTGAGTGAGTGAGGTCTTAAGCCGCTTTTAGCAATATTCCATGTGAAGAATCCAACCCAGGTCGTCGGCGTGACAAGCAAACGCTTTAACCACTAGGCTACCCCATCGCCCCAAGTGTAAATTATCCAGACAATCCAATGATTGACATCATGAGCAATGACCTATGCCACCAGGGTACAATGACACCATCAACCAAGACTCAAGTCGGACCCACCCCTTGATGCAGTTCACTGCACAGATTTCTAGTGATATATGCTAACCCAGAAACCATTAGGTAGAAAGGACAGAAAAAGAACATAATCTCATCAAACTGCCCCAATGATTTGGTTTAATCCCAAACCATCAAGAATTTCATGGATGCTCTCATACAAACCTCTTATTTCAGCTAGATTTTATTTTAATACAAATACAACATTGACACAGATATGTCCACAGATTTATATTTGTTATCGTAAGCCAAGCAGCCATTTTTGTGACCTCTTTTCAGCGACAGATCTGTTCACTGATCTATGTCTAGTGAACAGCTGTCATCCTCACCTTATGACAAAACGGGGGAAGGTTCACACAAGCTTAACACAATGGCATTGTCATGATGACTATCATGAATGTATGCATGACCAAACCGATTTCCGAAAATAAAATAAAATGCTTGTTGAATAAAACATGACACACAATCAACTGCTACCAATAATTCCAATGTCCGACCCACGCTGTAGGATAGATTTACGTCTCAAAATAATTAATATATGCATCTGAATGACGATAACTGGCCTAAAAAATATGTGTCATGTTTTATTAATACTGATATTCTCTGGAATGAAACACCCAAGCTGAAGGAAATAAGGACCAGTGTTACACTATGTGTGTCCCGAAGTTTGGAAACAGTGTTACACCATGTGTGTCCCGATGTTTGGAAACAGTGTTACACCATGTGTGTCCCGATGTTTGGAAACAGTGTTACACCATGTGTGTCCCGATGTTTGGAAACAGTGTACTGCATCTAACCATGCTAACTAGAGGTTGCCTGGAGGACAAATAACATGGCATATTAACCTACCATTTTCTGGCATTTATTAAATATTAAGCTTTATATTTAAAATAACCTTTCATTTATCATAACACTGAAGGTGTCCTTTTCAGAGGATATGGATTTTGGCTGATTCTGACAGATTGCTCAAGAAAAGATAAATGTGACCATCAGGAGAAAAGGAACTTTAAGGGTGCTAGGATACAATGTTAGACATCATTAAGACGTTTGGTGTCAACATACAACAGTGAAGATAGCCATCTATCTGTTATCAATATGAATTGAAGCTTGTGAATTACACTTTTGTGTTCTGAAGATGCTGTAGTTTTAAAATATAATGAAAATTTAAAATGTGATTTTTCACCCATAAGGTTGGTCACGCTTGTGTACAAACTGGTTTGGAGACGCATCAGTGAACAAAGACGACACAGGTTACACAACTGAAGATGCTGCATTCCTACCACTAGCCATGTAATACAGGTTTGTAGGAACCAAATATACGACAAATATTTAAGGACCACCCAATCCTTTCATATTACTCCAGTTAATCTGTCGTGCTATGAAGAACCCCACACCCTCCTCCGCAGCCAAGTCCTCCCCATGCACTGACAGCAACATGGGAACATCCTCAAGACATGACTTATTGATTCTAAAACGGTCAATATCACATGGAACTAGGCTAGAAAAACACCCACAAGGAAGCCGAATGTGATGACCAAATATGGATCCAATAAAAACTATTATGGCACAGGGTGCAATTAAACATAGCCTTTATTCATGTCCGCGTTGGTTGTGTGGAATACGCAAGTGTATAAATCTGATAGCACCCTGAGAAGGGAATCACCCACAAAGCCATGATTGCCAGGGGTTACTTTTCACACTCATGGTATCTTCTCTTATATGATTCCGTGTTTGAAAACAAGCAGTACTCAAGGTTTTCTCATCTGAATCTAGGGTTATGACAAGGATCCCTTGAACGCCGATTCCAAGGCTACTCTGACTTCCAAAGAGGTAGGATCAATGGAGGATTCTAAACCGAGTGCCCTTTACAGGCAAATTGGGAAAAACATGTTCCTTTGTTCATTTTTAAGTCATTAGATTCAGAGGTAATAGCATTCACTGCCATTCAGGATTAAATTAAATTGTAAAACCGTGCTTCCCCTGTAGTGGTCTCATCAGCGAAATACAAGTCACCTCCACAAAGCCATAATTCGTTATTACAGTAATCACATGAATTGGTATTTGTAATTCAAGTTACACAATTACTGCTGGCATTTGCTGAAGTCTTGGAGCCAAGCCTCTGAGCTGGTCTAGAAATGTCTGCGGAATGGCACTATTTATTGACATAATTGTTACTCTATTAAATAGGTCATAAATCAATATCTAGTTAACTGATGTAACTGACCGACACGTTTATTCAGTATAACCGTTTCCATGTAGGACTGGTTTGCTTGACAACATTTCCGAATATTGCCATGGCAATACACTTAGTCCCCGATGGGAAATTTATTTAAGTCACGGATTAAATGACATTCATGCCTCATTATGCTACTCAAGAGTTAGGAACACCCATGTTTTTATATAGTTAATCCTTCATGGTAGATCTAACTAAACAAACTGGGTGTTTGTAACTTCTTTTGAGTAGTATAAAACTAGTAATCACTATGTTTACATTCCATGCAACAACCCTTTGAGAGACGGATACTAAATAATATGAGGTGAGGTAAAATGGGGTTTAGTGTTGCATCCAAGATTTTTGCACTGAAAGAGTGACATGCATACACGTGTGTGTGTGTGTGCTCTCGTTTGTGTGTGTGTGTGTGTGTGCGTGCTTGTACTAGTTCAGACTAATGCCAATTTTATAGTTCTAGCCCACTGAGGTACTATGCTGCAGCTTAACATGAATACCCTACTCAGACACAGTATACCGACTGAGCTGGCCATTCCTTGTTTTAGCCCCTTGATGCCAAGCGCCAGGGTAACAACAAGTACCATTTTTTAACGTCGTTTGGTATGACGTGGCCAGGGATCAAACCCATGACATTCAGCTCTCCAGGCAGACACTCTACCACAAGACCACAGAGGTGATCTAAATAATATGAATTCACCAGTGACGTAGAACTAGGTCTATAATAAGTATGATACACATTTCATTTTGAGTGGATCATTACTTTTCCCATTAGGGTAATACTACAACAAACAGACCAGTGGAGACCAACAACAATGTCTGCTGTTGTATCAGGAGAGAGTCAGTGTGTTGGCAGATGTGACATGTTTGAGAGAATGGTGACATGGCTTGCACAGAACCAGAGACACAGCAACACACGGACTCCCAATTAATCAACAACGTATGGCTGTATCTCTCCCAGGTTTATCAAAACCAGGTCAGAGAGGTCAAACAATTTATACCCAGCGTGCTGCATTATATCAGGGTTCTTTAGTTCAGGCAACAAATTAGCCACGCATTAACCACAGCTTACAGGCGGCATGAACTATCGCAGGAGATTTTTTATGAGAGACTTAATATGAATAAACTATATATCCTCTTACCGACTTAGATAATGTAAAGTTATATGCAGCATATAGCTTGTATACTACATCATAATCTATATTTTAAACTGTTTTATTACAGAAATTAATAATTTAAAAGAAAATTACTTACTTTATATTTGAGGTCGTTTCCTCTGAAAGCATCATGTGGAATTGTGTAGTTGAAGAAGTGTCCGACTGAGGCCGTCGTATCGGCAATACCCCACATCAATGACACTGACGATTCATCACCAGTTCTAGATCCAACGCCATTCATTCCCAACAAATCATTGGAATCCACCACACTGACACTGCAATGTCCTACACCGACCAGCATGAGGCTGACCATCACAAACATCATGGCCATCTTGCTCACTGACGCACCACCACACATTGACCTGACCATATTCCCACACTCACAGCGATGTTCTGTCATAGTAGTAATCCACAATTTGTATCAACCGTTACAGCTAATCCTGGAAACAGAATCGCGTGTATCCTTCTCCTAGTCCTGCTCAGCACATCACAAGGAGAATATCACCTGAAACACAAAGACACACGTTAATACAGACAGAGGTCTGCCAAGAAATGGCAAATCGGAAACAGTTCAGTTATTCATGTGAGTCAAATACATTGATCAGGAATCTGTAGGTTGAAGCCTTTGCAGTCATAACACAAACACTCCTGACTGTACGAACAACTTCAGCTTCCTTCACCTGCTGCCATAGAAAAGAAAGTTAATCTAAATAACAGCACTTCCTCCCATCCCAGCCCGATTAAAAGCCAGCAATTCATACAAATATGTTTAAAGTTAAGCTGACACTATGGTATCACGTTTCACCAGCACTGACTTCCTCTGTGTTCTAATGACATTACGTTGCAACCTAAAAGGCACCCCCTCTCGGGCTCTTCCCTCTCCGGAGCCAAGAAGTCAATCAGAAAAAGAGCGGGAAAGAGCAGACGTCAAAAGAACAGATGCGGCAGACGTACATCTGGCCAGATGTCGACATTCAATGTTACGAGTGGCTGCCGCAGGAGGCAGACCAAACCCTACTTACCAAGTATGCAGGCATGATGCAGTCAAAAAAGGAAATGTTTGTCATGGTTACGCACCAAGAGGAAGCTCAGGCGAACATATAGCCACATGCCTCTCACTCATGGCTGTGTGCCTGGCTGCATGACAAGATATGCCGCTCGGCAGGTCGAACGACTCCATTGCAATCATTCCTCATGTTATAGCCGCTGAACAAACTGTCAAGTTAGGGGGCTTTCTACAATAGCTTTTGATTTTCTTATGAGGTCATATGACCAATATTTATAATGCTTCCCTGGACCCTGTTTCTTGTAGACTTTCAAACCTTGGTGAGATGAGCTGAAAGTACACATAGACTGGCATCATCTTGGGCGTAGCGCTCACATTGATGCTCTGCTCTGCTAGACTGGCTCCAAGCTGGGGAGGTGGGGGCAGAGATCAGGCTAAATAAACAGGCCAGGCAGGACAGCAACTGAATCAGTTAAATGATCTCCGGGAATTGACAGACATAGTCAGCTGTACAGGAGATGAGATTCTTTACAAATAAACACTGGTCAGTCAAGACATCCGAGTGGTCAAGACAGCCCAAGTGGTCAAGACCGGTATCATTGGGCTATTGTGGGGAGGGAGGGAGGGAGATTTGAGCTTCCCTATTCACTCTTTACCCATCTTTATATTCATGGTTACTATCCGGCAGTTGATCACCCTGGACATGATATAAATCTTTGACTACATGGAGGATTTATTTCTAATTTGATAATGCGATCAATCAGATATTTATAGCCCTGACACGGATGTATAATGAACTTTAAAACAATGCACCACAAAATTAGGCATCAATATTTGCCCATCACGTTAACTGCTAACATGTAAAGAGGACTGAGTTTGTAGGGTCAGAAACTTTTAGACATCCACCTTCAGCATATCTCGTGATGTGTGTGTAAATAATTGCAATAACTCGATCCATGATAGATCAGGGAGCCCACATTACACAGCGCCACTACAGTCAAAACTGTTTAACCATCTAAGAGATAATATATCAGGTTCTACTGAACCCCAAATCAAACAAAACATAGCTATTACAAAACATACCTAAATAAAATGTATTATTTTCATCATTACTATAATGCAGTCTTTCATATTATATTATGAATTAATTTGATATTAATCTTATTTTGTTTTATTTAATATTTATTTCAATATGTATTTTAATATTTATTTTTAAATTTCATTTCATTTCTTATTTTTATATATTATCATATATTTACTGTTTCTTCAATCAAAGTGATAGATCTTCATTTATGATAGATCTTCAATCACAAGCTTGCCCTACCGTGAAAGGGGAGCACACAGGAGGTTGCCGACATGACCATACTGGTCTAGATGTACTCTGAGTAATGCTTCTGACATTTCTCTGTTAACCAACCTGGTCCTCCATTAACATCCTAGTCTACATTAGCTCATCCACACCTGTAATGGTCTGTCTTAGTGGTCGTCCCCAGGCTAGACTCGCCATGCATTTGGGAGATTCCCTTTTAAGAAATGATTCTCTCAATATTAATCCACTGATCAACTTCCTCATCTAATTAGACCTCTTTTCCTGAGTAATAACATCCATTTATGTGATAACAAAGTATCATGCCAGAAAATGGTAAAATATTACCGATTCCAATTCCTTTGTAATCATAGGAACCCGAGCGTCTTTGATGCAATCTATAACTTACACTGTTGTCGAAAGTGTTTTGTAGAGTTAACACTTCACCTACAAATGCACACAGTGGAGTTGGATGACACTGTTGTAGGAGGAAGATAATGGCAGTTCAAGGGTTAACACCCCAGTAATCGCTGGCCCATGGGTTCAGACCTCCATCATTGTGTGCCTTGTCTATTTACATCATAAACCAGAACATCACACGACAGGCTATTCTCAAATATCCACAAAAATTATCGCTAAGCGTTTCCCATTTCACTGGCTTTCATAAAAAGGTTCAGAAATAAGCCTTTCTTCACCACCTCTGCACACAATGATATTTGCCCTACATTAATTCTTCATACCCCATGAGGAAAAAGAATGCCAAGTTTTTTTGGATTCCTGAGGAAAGTTGACAGTGATTTGATATCAAAGAACCAGGAATATGTCTGAATCCCTGATGCACACTCCCAGCTAGTCTGTCTCCCAGACCCTAGAGAATAAACTAAACAAGGAGTCCAACTCAAGTCTAGAATGATTGGGCAAGTCTAGATTACCTCAGCTCTAGGCCTGAAATTAAAAACTGCTCTGGGCTCCTTTTGGATTTTATTATTTATATTTTGTTATTTATATTCTGCATCTACTCACATCACAAGTAACATAAAGAAAATAACTGAAGCTATCAAAACTGTAAAATAATAATCAATGAAAAAAACAACAATACCATCTCTAAACATTTGCAAATACCAGGTATCATCACTATTTGATAGTGAGTCATTAACACATGCTCGTGAGAGTCGAAATTGTACAATTGACTGTTTTGGGCAGATATTTCTCATGTGTATGGAAACGTTTGTCGACTTTTTTTCAATACATACTCAATGTAGATTCCTCAAATTACTGTAGTCCTAAGTCCACACGCTGAAACATGCAGCAGGATCACAGAATCATCACAGAACACGCTAGTTACATATCGGAACATTATACATCAACACAGCAATACAGAATACACAAACATCCTGTTTCACCGTTTGATCTGCAAGTGACTTCGTGCCACTAACACCCCAATGTCCACACCGACCCTACCTAGCTGTTACGTCAGGGCCAATAACTTGGTACTGTCCACATACCTGACCCCCAGGGTTACGTAACGTCCCCTGGACCAAGTGGAGGTATTACAGCCTTCTCCTAGTGATAACACTACAAGGACCGGCATGGCTTCTCAGCCTTAATCTGTCATGTCACTGATTACATCGCAGATGCAACATTTAGTATACTGACAATACCGCCTCATCCCCTGAGGCAACATATTAATGAATTAATGGGATCCGGGCCATCATTCACAGTCAAGGACTTCATGACAGTTTTATCTATTCTGTCCAGAATCATGAAAGAATCAATTCATAAACTGCACCCATGGAGAATGGAAGTAAGGTACAACCACATGATAGAAGAAGTCAGATAGGCATAGAAATTAATCCATTATATATTTGTTCACAAAGTATTCAGCTTTCACAAGAGTTTAAACTCCCAACTTTGAAGTACATGGACTTTAGAATGTTTAGAATGGGGACAAGGAATGCCTTAATCAATCTCACCTTTTCGTTCTTAACAACTCTTGGCGTTGTAACTAAGACTGAATACCTGGCTGCCTCCTCTCCGCCTGCACCCAACCTTTGTGACTGTCCGACTACAATACATTCTCAGCTGGATCACATTCACTTTCACACACAACACCACTAGACATTCCGTTCTCCTCCCACTGACCTCTAGGATGGACAGGTGCCCCTTGGCTCTTCTGTTTGCCCCCCTCACAAGAAGGATTACAACTGTCCGAAGACAGAGAGCTATCTGCCCACTTGAGAATGCCTCATGCCAGGCTAATGAAATGGATGAAACCACATGTCAAGTCTTATCAATATTGGAAACTAAATACCTCAGTTAGTGAGATTTACATGTGGGACAGAGGGCGTGGCCTCGGGCCATGTCAATAAAACTTGGCAATCACTTTGATATGTGCCCAGCAATTAACTGGGAGGTGATAATGGGGGATGAATGAAGACCTCCGTACTCTATGGAATCTGGACAGTTCTAGATGAATCATTTTACTAACAGATTGGCATATAACAACACTAACATGAAAAAATCCCAAAAAATGTCATTGTTTAAAATTTATACATGTATACAGTATAAGAGTATAAGATTTTATTAAAAATTGTTTTTTTTAAGTGAATACATGTAAAATTCGAAAAAAATTGTCTACAGATTAAAATAAAACAAACTGACCAACAATTTGCCCATCAGTTCCGCAGGTACTTCTACAGTACATTACACTACCCTATCAGCACACAAGACCTACAACAGCCCAGTCTGAAGTAGAGGTCCGACATGACCCATGAAATGATCACGTTCCTACCGAGATTAATATCAATGAAATACAAACAAGTCTCTGCTCAATGCTGGTGTCCGAAGTGCCCCCTGGTGAGTGTGTGTGTAAATGTAGAAATTGCTGCATGTAGCGCCAGTGATATAGCTGTGTATACCCTGATAAAGTGACCAGCTGTCAGCACCAATCAGGACATCAGCTGGTCAGCTGGAGCTGAGAGGCTGAAGTAGTGTTAATAAGCTGACCAAATGTTTCCACACCATGCTGCTAGTCTACAAAGCTACGTACATCTCTTGATATGATAGCTGTGTCTAAGAGGGAAGGTATTTGTACTGCGGAAAAACACCACAGCTTTGGAATGGCCAGGGAGAAGGAGAACGAAAATAGAACAGTCATAACTCAGGGAGCCTTTTTGTGTATGAAGTAAAAAAC